GCAGTGGGTTTATTCCCAGTGGTAGGAAGCACACCCAGAAGCAGACTTCTTCAGCCAGACTGCCGCTGTGATATAATTGCTGATGCAGCTGTATGGAAACTTTTCCATTGTGTGTCCTGTCCATACCACAAGTATTTGCTTTCTGCTGCTCACAAACAGTATTTTGACGTAACCAGAGTTTCTCCATCATGAATATTCAGCAGGGCTGCTGAATGCTAGAAAGCGTGGCTGTCCTCATCTGTGTATCATGATGGTCTATAGTGAGAATTCTTCATCTTTTTGTGTGTTTTTTACATCTAAGGCAGTGCACTTGCAACCCTATTCAAAAGATCTCTGAAATGTGCACGGGGTGAAGATCTAAGCTCTAGAAAGCTGGTACGGGCAAGACTTGTGTGAGCTGCCCCTCCTGTACACAGCCTTCCCCTGGAGCTCACACTGCTGCCTTGGAGTGACAGGAATTAAAGTGCCCACGCAGAAGTGGCACTTTCTTGTTCTGCTCCTTGATGCCACCTGTGTCCATTGTAGCTTTTTCTACCTGATGGCCCTGCAGGAGCAGTGTGCTAAGGAAGGCATCAGTCGTGTTCTGTGTGGAATATTGTGTTGGTAGAGCCAGCAATGGGAAGATAATCACTTCACTTGAGGTCGCAGCCCGCTGACATTTTTCTTTCAGTCTCTTTATCTGCATGTAAGGTTTCTACATTTGATTCCATTTCTAACTTTTAACATTTTGTATTTTACCCTAAAAAAACAAAAAAGTCCTGGATCTGAGCCTTGATCTTGCAGCAAAATAAAATGAGAGCAGCACTTCAGAAAGCACAGTTGGGCCCAGCTGAAGGTGTTTGCAAAAGACAGTGAAGTCTTGTGCGGGCATAAGGTCGCTCTTCTCACAGTGAAGACAACTGCAGTGTGCTTTGAAAGAAAGTAACAGACCTTGGTATTTTAATGTTGCTTTCTCATTTCAGAATCCATACTGGTGAAAAGCCTTTTGTCTGTGATGAATGTGGTGCCAGGTTCACTCAGAATCACATGCTTATATATCACAAAAGATGTCACACAGGTAAGGCTCGCTTCTGCAGCGTGCTACTTCTAGGAGGCAGCCTGCTGTGAAACCAGGAGATCTTACCATCACTCAGAAGCCAAATGCCTTTTTGCTGTTTTTGATACAAAATCAGATCTTCTCGTCCCAAGATAGAATTTCAGTGAGAAAGGTTCTTACAGGTGGAAAGGAGCTCATTAAGGTGCTCCCACCCAGTCAGGTTCTGGCACCTAAAGCATGGGTTGTGGCTTTAGGTGCTTAGCAGTGTCCAGAAATGTGTCAGTCATCCATAAAAGGTTTGGCTAACTCCTTTTTAAAAAGAGCTTTCTCAGAACTGTTAGCCCAAGGAATATTATGAAGTTCTCTTGGCACTTTGGTGTATTTCTAAATGGCTGTGGTCTGCCTCGCTCTTAATGAGTCCATGCAGCTTTCTCTTGGGTAGAGCTCAGTGCTTTATGCACAGATCCCTGCTGGCACCCCAGTCTGCACAGATCCTGCTGTGAGGTGGTTAACTTGCATGCAGTAGCCTTTCTCTGTATAGTAGCATTCTCAGATGCTACATTGGCTTACTTCTCTTCATCCTTGCTGCAGGGGAAAGACCTTTTATGTGCGAAACGTGTGGGAAGAGCTTTGCTTCTAAAGAGTACCTGAAGCACCACAACAGAATCCATACGGGGTCCAAGCCTTTTAAATGTGAAGTTTGCTTCAGAACATTTGCACAGAGGAATTCACTTTACCAGCACATAAAAGTTCACACAGGTAGGAGGTGCTCTTTTTTGTTGCTGCTTGAAACAAACCGTCATAACTTGAAGCCTTTGTTCTCCTGGTTGCTCAGTTCAGACAAGATGTTTCTCATTTCTTGGATTTCCCATTACTTGAATTTCTACACTGCAAACAAGTTTTGATTCTTGAGGCAGTCTGTTTTCTTTCACTCCCTTTCTCCTAATACTTACCTGGATTTCTTACTGACCCTTACAGCAAATCTCTGAAGTATTTTTGACAGCTGTGCAGATGCTGCTAGTAATGCAGCTGCTTGTGATGATCCTTATTAGAGACCAAAGTACTATGTGTGTTTTAGTTTTGAACAAGGCACTGCAGAAAGCCAGTCCCTTTCTGTCTGCTTGCTCACCTTTCACATTTACAGTCTTTTCTGCTTGGATTGTGGTGGTACCACAGGTTGCAATTTGCTCGTGTTACTTTGATCCTGTAGTAAATACCATGCTTTCCCACCCAGCGCCACCCTGCAGCAAGCACCTCGCCAACATTCCCCAGCAAACCAAACTGCTGCTTGGCTGCTATGCCTTCCTCTCTCCTTTCTTCCTGCACTGTGTGTCCAGTGTTTGTGTCACCATAGTGGGAGCAACAGACGCAAGCCGGGCAGTGCTGACATTTTCCTCTTGTGGAATATCGTCCCTTTTCTGTGCTGAAGCACAGGGGCTAACAGAGGTTACCCAGGGGGTAACACACTGTGTGCTGTGCCTCCAGGTGAGCGGCCCTATTGCTGTGACCAGTGTGGGAAGCAGTTCACGCAGCTGAATGCGCTGCAGCGGCACCATCGCATACACACTGGGGAGAAGCCCTTCATGTGCAATGCCTGCGGACGGACCTTCACTGACAAATCCACCCTGCGCCGGCACACCTCGGTGAGACCCTGCCCTCCTGTAGCCCTGCTGCCTCCTTTTGAGGCCATGTGGTGATGCAGCCCCCCTGCCGTGCCTGGAGGGGGCTGCCCCTCCGTGCCTTCGACCTCCTGAGTCAATTGGTTGGTTTGTTTTTCCAGATCCATGATAAAAACACACCGTGGAAGTCCTTCCTTGTGATTGTTGAAGGAGCATCTAAGAATGATGAGGCTCACAAGACAGAGCTCCCGGATGAAGAGTATGATGTATCACCTAAAATGCCAGAGAAGCTGCTGTCTTTCTCTGAAAACGGCCACTATCAGAGCTTCACTGCTGTCCCAGGGGCTGTGACTGCACTGCATGACAGCAGTTCTGCCACGGGGACTGACTGTAAGTCAGATGGGACCCCGGGACCCCAGGGAGCCCTTATTGCTACCACTCTTAGTGAGCTGACAGTACTGCAAACACAGACAGAATCTATTCAGCCACAGCTTCATGCTTTGGTGAATATGGAGTAATTTGGTGTTACTCGATCCAGTCCAAGCTGCACACTTTGTATAATCACTTGACTTTGCCAATAACCTGCTGAGGGAACTAGGAGAAGCTATGAAAAGGAAGCAGAGGTAGATGTGAATGACCTGCCTGGATTACCAGGATTTCTTCCAAAATGTAATTGTCCACATCCAGTGCATACAGCCCCATCTCCTGAAGGCAGGGGAGAGTAATACCAAATCCAGTTTGATTTCATCAGCTGAAGAAAGGATGTTCCCTGCAGATAGAAGAAGTTTGGAGGTGGCTGCAGTTGAGCAGAAGTACCTGCGTTCAGCTAGGCTGCAGAGAAGGTGCACGTTTGATTTGATGACACCTGTACAATCGAGAGAAACCCTGTTGTGTTTCTCAACCCACTAGTTTAGTTAAACAAATCTGTATTTTCTCAAGTGGAAATTCTTTATATAAATTGTTTCTCTAGTTTGCATTTCAGGAAAACGTTGGTTAGTCTCTGCTTTTGCCAAATAGCCAAGCAGTAAGGCAGCTTGTTCCCTGGGAATTGGGAGGGGAGCAAGCTCTGGAAAGAGCTGAAGTTTCATTTCAGGAATTGTGGTTTTCTGGTTGCTGCATAGGCGAGTGGGAGCCAAGTGCTGTGTCTGTGCAGGGGGTGGTGCTGTCTTTGCTTTCCAGTAAATCTTGGTGCAGTTTGGATGCTTGTACTCAGCCAGCTTTCAAGCTGGAGCAGTTGGAGGATAAAACTTGTCAATGAATAGAATAGACAGCTTACTGACACTTCCCTGCTGAATTGTAGCTAAGCACTTTTCTGCTGGTCCAGATAGGTCAGCAGTGTTCTTTTCTCCACCATCACTTCAGCATTGCTTTTCCACAGGCCTCCTTTTAAATTAAGTCAGTCTTGCAGGGACTGAATCCCCTTGTTCTCTTCCATCATGGCCAGTAGCTGGGAAAGTCTGAGAGTCACTGCCCAGGGGGAGCAGGCTCTGCATTTCCTGCACTTGGGCACCTTTGCTAACACAGAAGCTGAACTGAAATGAAAATGTTACTTTACTTGGCTTAAGGTTAAGCTGCCTGGAGTATGGGGAAGAGTAGGGTACTGTCCTTGTGCAGGGACAGAGCTTTGAAATAGGTGCCACTGAGGAAGTACCAAGTGACAACTCTGACTGGGATGACTCTGCTTTTTTGGAAGCAGCAGTGAATCAAAAGCAGTTTGCCTGTATCGCTGACTCTTCCACTTTAGGACCAGATTCCCAGTGTCAGGATGTTAAAAACCTGGAGCTCATCTAATTTGCTTCTCTGTTTTGCTTTTCTGTTTCTCTTTATTTTAATATTAATATAGTATTTCCACAGAAGCTTTCTCATCTGAAGCTGTGAGGAAAAACTGAAAGATTGCATTAGTGCAAAGGTAAGCACAATCGAGCCTGGTTAGGGCTTATTCTAAGGCTTAGGGGTTGGCAAAGCAATAAAGATATCCAGACTGTGGCACAGAGCTATTTTTGAACCTTAAAGGGATGTCTGATATGTTTCCATAGAATCATAACTTAATCTAGAGAAAGGGATTTTTTTTTTTAAAGAGAACATTCCAAGAGCTTATATTTGAAATATTTATTCAAGCACGACGTCCTGTTGAAACTCAGTATTCCCAGTGACCAATGTAAAGAGTTTGTAGATATATCTAAGTAAATCTGAGCATTAGTACCTGTAGGCAGGGAAGCTTTTGTACTCCATGAATGGACAGATGTGAGTTATGTGTATGAGCCATTCTTATTAAAAGACTGAAATATTCAGATGGACCCACCCCTGCCTCGTGTATTTTCCCATAAACAACATTGCTTGCTCTGTACGTTCATGATTTTCACTTTATTAATGTACAGATTCACACAAGACATCATATTCCTGCTAAGGCCATTTCATTAATAAGTTTTCATAGTATGGGTACTGAGGGGGAAAAAGACAGCAGAGTGGCAGCTTGTCATTTTAAAACTGTTAACAATTTACGACTGATACACTGGAGGTCATGCTGTAGCCTATTTATACAGAACTAACATTTGTATTTTAATGATATTTACTCCAGAGCACAGTAACAGACCACATAACCCCGTGGGTATGGTCTTCTGGTCCACCAGCAACAGAAGCAGCTTATCACAGCTGTGCACAATACTGACAATTGGAAAACAAACCAACAAAAAAAAAGGCATAAAACACCTCGGTTCTGTGTGACATTAACAGAAGTAAAACCTCCCCTCAGTGGGTGCAGCTAAGGTGCTGGAGCCAAGTCAAGACAAATCCCTCTGTAGGCTATGCCTATGCTTAGCACAGAGACAAACCAGAGTGGTTCCAAACCTGGGTAAGTTCAGCAGCAGTTCATCTTTGGGCCCTCTTGTACAAAATGAGACCATACCTACAACCAGTGCAACTTTTGCTCTGAGATTCTCTACCTGCCTACCACGCTAGCTGTGCCCTATGCCCATGCCCAGTATTTTCAGGCACAGAACACGTAGAGGATGCTGATGCACCCCAGGCCAGGTTGGGCAAAACACCTATTAGTTCATGTTTCTGATGGGCTGAGCATCTCTGGTGAAGACAGAGCAGGCCCACAAATGCAATTCAGAGACTTTCTTTGGTAAGGCCATGCGACAGACAGACAGACATGAAGTGAGGTGGGCTGAGCTGCAGCAATGGATTTGTTGCAGCCAGACGCTGGCCTTCAAAACACATCTGAGAAGTGAGGAAACTGAAGTTGTGTGGGAGACTGAGCATCTTCCCAGCTTAATGGGCTGACCCTAGCCCTGCACTCCTGGCTCTCACCTTTTGAGTTATCTGATGCATAGAACAGTCTGTGGAGAATAAGTGAGACAGCGGAGAAAAGACAGAAAAAAAACAACTGTGTACCAGCAGTGATTTTTGGTTTTCTTACACTTGAGCAAGCGGGAAACAACAGTACTGCTTCACAACTGCTGAACCCTTTTAGGTCAGTCTATCAATCCAATGGTTTTCTACTCCAATAAGCATCTAGATTAAAAACAAAGAGCAGTGAAAGCCAACACGTGAGCTGCCAGGATAAAAGCAGACACCATCCTTACAGCAAGAGAAACAAAAGACAGAGTCCAAACTGCAGCAGTGCCCACCAGAGCTTCCACAACCAGCCCTGCTGCCAAACAAAGCAGCTACATTTCCATTCTTAGCATCTCGCTCCACTGCAGAGAAATGCCAAGTGCCAACTGCTGACAGACTGCACAGGCTCACAGGTCTGTCAGTGTATGCTGTAGGTAGCTCCATCAGCCCTACTCAAACAACACATTGCACAGAGAAGCTTTGGTTGCAGACATTTTAAAATACGTCTCTAAAATGATAAGGAGAATTCCTAAAGTGCCTACGTCTCTTCAAAGCACGCTCCATCCATCTGTCACCCAGACACATAAGGGTCCTGCTCAGTGCCAAGCCTCTGCCAACACCTCTGCATGTCACAACAACGAGGCAGCCGAGCCAACAGCAAAAGGGCCATAAGCTAACAGGTAGTGCCTGGCACGCACAAAAGACCTGCAGGAGACAGCAGCAGGAGCTGGTTTAAAGGAGAAGTTAGAAAAATATATCATTACGTGGGTCAAGTCGTCTTAGGGCAGCGGGGTTGGGGGCTGTGCCACAAAATAAAGTGGAAAAATAGATCCAAGAAAATAGAGAAGAGCCTTACGTTTTATATTTAGATCTTAAATACAAAATACACGGTTAACTAGGTCTGCTCTCCTGTCCTCTGATGTGCAATGCTTCCAGCACTAGGCCACTGCAGTCTGCGTGCGTACATGCACACATGTACCTGCAGAGATGCACACACACTTGTGCTTCCTGTGTCTAAGAGTCACAAAGCCTTTCACTAGCACCATTTAAAAAGCTCCATCATTAAAAACAAATCAAAAACAAGATCCACGTGCATCTGGCAGAGGTCCATGTAAAAAGCAGAAAACAATGAGGATACAGCAGCAGATCAGCATCTGTTATTTGTAGTGCACTGGCACGGACAAATATTTACATGCTCAACTCAATGGTACTGAATACTGAACATTAAGACGGAACAGGAAGAGAAAAAAGGAGCTCCAAGTGCAAACTTTGGGCTCATCAATAACAAAAACACAAAGATTTCTGCCAGAAGTGTTCCTTTCACCTCAGAAAAATCTGCCAGTGATACCCAGAGCATCGCTTCTCATCTACCCACATTGCCACAACAAAGAGCAGGGTACTAAAGAAACACACAGTCATTTGGACTTAGAAGCAACAAAATCAAGCTAGATAATTTATCACGTATCCCGGAGTGGTCCTTGGCTGTAACACGAGGACAAATGACTTAGGCTGCATGCCACAAACACCACGAACACTTCACTTCAGGTCCCCGTCCCCTTCTCCTTGAATCGACTTCTTGATGCGAAGCAACATGGTGGTGAGCCACTGATCCAACCGCGAGATGGAATCGAATTCCTTCACCTATTAAAGGCAAAGAGAAAAGCAGTCAGAAGGCAGCTGCAAAACAAGCACTGTGCCTCTTGAGGTGTAATCTTTTAAACCTTCAGCTCTTCCAGAGGCAGAAAGGCCTCTATTAGAGAAAAAGGGAGGCTGCCTCCAAGAGCCCCAGGCAGAAATGCGGGCTGGCGGTACTTACTGCCTCGGTGTACGCCTCCGAGTTCTGCTCCTCGTGGGCTTCCAGCAGTTTCTAGGAGAACACCGTTACAAGTCAGACAACACTGCGAGTCCCTCCGTGAGGGGGGACCTTTGCCACCCACCAGCAACCCCCCACCACAAACACAAACCCAGATTTGTTCAAGTTAACCGCAATCATCGTCTTGCTGCTGCTGCTACTCCCACCCGCTTGGTCCGAAGCCAACGCAGAGCGAGTCTGATGTCCCTCAAGGCATTTTGAGAAGAAGGCCAAACCCGTGGCAAGGTGAAAAAGCACAAAGCAAAGGGCAGTTTGCATTTCTAAATGTGAGCGTGTTATTTTAATACTGGCTTCACTTACTTTCAATAGCTTGCATTCCCGTGAATCTGTGAATGCTGGGAACATTTCTTCATATTTCTCAAGCGCGAGCTGAAGAGAGACACACACCCTCAAGCTCTTTTCACACAAAACTCCTCACTTTTTATTTCAGTTTTTTTCTCTTCTAGTCCTAAAACCACGCAGAAAACTCAAGAAAACATTCACAGCAAACTCATAAGCACAAGGAAATGAACAGGCAGGGGCAGATCTGGCCTCAAACTGCTCAGAGCCAGCCGTGGCTCAAGATATCACTCGGCAAGAACCAAGCAGACACAGCCAGAGCACAGGCAGGGCAGGAAGCAGAAAACTCTGCATAGGACACTGCAGTAGCACGTGCCCTGATTTACCCTGAGCATCACTCTGGATGTGCTGCAGTTCACCCTTCGTTCTGCTTACGCTGGAGTCTCGTGGTGATGCAGCCATCAGCAGGTGACAGCACCAGCTACAAGCCCCCATAACAGCTACCAGAGCCCTGTGCCTGCAAAAACACCTCCCTGCTGGCAAGGGTTGGTCAGCATGGCTGGAAGAGGTTGGGGCAACCACCCTGAGCCCACTGACCTTCGCGTTCAGCTCATCCACAATGAAGTGACACAGAGCAGCTTTGAAGAAATACTCCTTTGCGCTGTACTTCAGCAAAGGATTATCCATCGTGTTTGTTCCAACCTAGGCGTAAAAAGGAATTACTGGAGTTGGGAAAGGAATCTGCATCATTAGGAACTGAATTAAAAGCACGACACCTGATTAAAACTACACACAGCACCACTCAAGCGTCTGCAGATAAAGGCAGTGACAACTGCCAGTGTCTGTGCAAATAGTTATGGGGCAGCCAGACAGCTTTTTTGGAGAGAAACCAAAGAGGAAAACCCATCCCATCCTCAGATTTCTGTAACTGAGGCCCACCAGGGCAACCCAGCAACCATCCTGGTGCCAGCCCAGGCAGGCACAGAAGGACAGGCCCCTGCCTCACCTGCTCGTAGATTTCTATTGCCTTCTGGTACTGCTCCAGCTGCGCGGCGTAGGCAGCCACCTTCAGCAGACATTTGTTGGCTGAGCTGCAATCCAAACCAGGAAGTGAGTGATGGGGGAGAACATCCGTGCCACCTGCAAGCATCCCCTCCCTACTTGCTGCATAGAACGGTGGGACCCATGAGCTACTAACAGCCAGGGAAAAGCATGGAGACCTGCAGCCCGACCAGGTGTCAGATATCGCTCATCTCTCTGTGCTTTCTGTGCATCCCAACCCAGACGAGTCTGCATGCAGCATAAGATCCCTGCACAGGAATCTGAGCATTCTTTAGAAACCCAACTGGCATGACGCACGGGCACCTGCTAAGCTTAAAATAATCACGTAGGATTTGGGCATCCTACCAAAGGATGTTTTAGAAGAGCCTGCTGGGCGAGGAGTGTGAGCACGTATGCAATCTAGGGCAAGTTCCCATTTCCAATCCCTCCCTGCTGGAAGGGACCACATCCCAAAGCCCACTTGCCTGTTGGACTCTTCTCCTTTGTAATAATCCGCAGCCTGCTCGTAGTGCGCGATGGCCTGGGGACAGAAATGTTACACTTGAGCACTGCTTCTGAAGAGGGGGGGTTTGGGTTAGATCAGTGCACAGAGACCACGTTCAGAAAGGCTTTTCTGCTCTGCGGATGAAAGGAGTGAGATGACGGCACGCTGCGGGGCTGTGGGTCAAGAGGGGCACCCAGCAAACTCCAAACGCAACGCTGCCCTTGAACATTTGCACGCACGCTCGTTAACAACCCCAAACTCCAGAGCACGTTTCATAAAGGTGACGCTGTTGCTGTGGGATCTCAGTGCCCCACAGAGCAGCAAACGCAGGGCCTGGCACCCTCACCTTCTCGATGTCAACCAGCTCGGCCTCGTAGATCTCCGCGATGGTGATGTGGTGCTTGGCCGCAATGGTGAACCGCCCCTGGGGAGGACAGAGGTCTGTGAGGGGAGGTCTCCCCACCCGGCACACAGTCATAACGCCATAACCCTTGGACACGCAGCTCAGCCCCGTGCCCCGCCGGCGGCGCGGCCTCTTACCATGTCGGTGTAGATATCGATAGCTGCATTTAAGCAGTTGATGGCCTCTGCAGCATGTGTGTTCAGAAAAACAACACAAAGTCAGCTGGCGCCACAGCGCCCACTTCAAGACCTCCCCCCCAAAAGAACTGACAGACGTGGAACAGCTGAGAGCACATCCGGATGTCCATGGGGCTGAAGACCCCAGGCCCATAGCTTCTGGGGAATCTCACCCACTGAGCCCACCCCTACCTTCCCACAAAAGCCCCAACACCAAGTGGTGACACAGCCATCAGGACGAGCCACGTCCAAGCAAAGGAAAGCATCTCTCTCATGTCGAGAAGCGACACGAGGAAGAAATGCCAGTAATCCCCAGCAGGCTGCAGGGAGGCTCTCCGGCCACACGGACCAGCTGACTCCGAAAGCCCCGGCGCTGCGCTCCTACGCCGCTAAGAAGATTTGCACAAAACAATCCCGGATTTTGTCCCCCATACCTTGTGGGTCTGCTTTTTTGTAGGCGTTCCCAGCATCCACAAAGCTGGTGGCCGAGTCGTGCTTGCTCTGCAGTTGCATATGCAGCTTGGCCGCCTGGCAGAAGGCGTTCCCTGCAGCTGGAACAGAAGCACAGCACCGAGTGTCACCCCACAGAGACAGCAGAATTGCAGGGAAACAGCCAACCACCCGGCGCTCCCCAGCACCAGGAAAGCTTTAGAGGTGCAACAGCCCCAAAGGTATTTCTGACCCAGGTCAGCACAGCGATGCTGGGCTCCGTGCAAACCTCCTCCCATAAATGCAGCACCCTGCGGGCTGCTATAGCTCCAGTTTAGCTTGGTAAGCTGTCCCCAGATGGGCCCATTTAACAGCACAAATACTCAGCCGCACTCACCGCTCCAATTTTTGGCAATCTTGAACATGTTTGCAGCCCTGGTGTACATCTCACAGGCCTCCTCCACTCTGGTGTTACCCCTGGACGAGAGCAGGAGAGTGCATGAAGCCACATCTGCCTTTTTGCCGGCGGCTTTCAGTGCCCCAACAGCGCTGCTCACAGCGCCCTGCGGGCACCGCGGCTCCCAGGGCTCCGCTTCCGTTCCGTGCCAGCAATTATTCAGCAAAACAGACGGGCTTTGCCATGCGGCCACATCCACAGCCCCCCAGCGTGCCCTCTCCCACCGAGCCGCCACCCCCCGCTCTGCCTATGGGGCGGGGGTGTCATCCGGGTCGCGCCATCCCCTTTATGCGACCCCACTGCACGTCGCGCACCCCACTTTTGCAATTTTCCCCTTTTTGCAACCCTTCCCCATCGCATCTCCCTTTTGCAACCCCCCCGCACACCGCACCATCCATGCATTAATTTGCAACCCCTTTTTCTTTGTGCAACCTCCTCCTGACCCCCCCAGTTCGCTCACCCGAAGAGCCCCCGCAGGAAGGAATGCGAGCCCTTCACCCGCTTCTCGGCTTCGGCCATCAGCTGCACGGCCTCCCGCTCCTTCCCCGAGCTGTCCATCGCGGCAGCGCTCGGCCAGGCCCGGAGCCGCCTCCTCTTCCTCCTCCTCCTCCTCCTCTTCCTCCTCCGGGAGCGCGCACAGAGGCGGGGCGCGGCGCGTACTGCACGATGCGCGCACGCAGCGCACGGCCGCGGGCCGCACAAGGCGCGCCGCAGGTGATGCGCAGAAGGCACGCGGTGGATGCACCTCGCAGGGTGCAGCCGGGCCACGATGCCCGCCCTAAAGACGAGGGAGAAGCGGGTTGTAGGGTTTTCCCCGCAGGGCCAAAGCCCCGGCTCCCAGCAGAAGGGTCTCCCTGCAACTGCCTTCCATCAGTGAATGAGTACAAGGAAGGCCAGAAGAGGCAGTGAGCTTGCCCGTTTTCTGTCTCCTTCCTCAAACTAGAGATGAATTTCTCCTTCTTGGCAAAGCAGCTTGGCACACCAGCATCCTCGTGGGGTGCTGGATGCCAGCACCATCACTGCAGTGCTTGTCCAAGATGCGCTGGGCTACAAGCAAACACAGCAACGTAGGCTTATGGTCCGGGTGATGCAGTGGGGGTGAGAGCTGCCGGGGGGGCTCACGCATTGCCAAAAGGCCCAGGAGCCACAGCTGCTGCTTCCAAAGCCCCAAGGGGAACCAGGCTGCGTGCCTCCAGACTGCAGCTCCTGCTGTGCCCAGCTTCAGGTGTCACATCACACTGTCACTGCTGCTCCACGGGGACACACGGATTACACGGCCTCCTCCCCAAAGCACAGCCCTGCATGCTGCTAAAGGTGATGACTTCACAGTGGATCTGCAAAGTCAGAAAATCACGCTTTCAGCTCCCCAGCTAAAAGCACACCCCTTTTTGACCAGCAGCTCCAAAACCTGCCCTTCAGACCCGTGTTTTTGCAAAGCATCCGCAGCGGGAATTAACCAATCAATAATTAATTTGCCCACGTGGCTTTGGATCGCCCAGAGCTCTCTGCAGGTGCAGAATTCAATGCCAGGGAGGGGAAGGGGCCAGGCCAGGCGATCGCTGTGCCGCCCGGGCTCACATAACACCAGCTGCAATGGGAGCTGCTAAGAGCTGAGCTGTCAGCGCTGCAGCGCCTCGGGTGCCAGGGGGATGCACACACACACGGGCTCCACTTACAGAGGGGCCGGGATGCTCTGGGTTACTCACACGGCCTGAGCAGCACAACGCCTTCCCTCCTGCAGGTTGGTGCTGCACTCAATGCTCCAATGGCCTTTGAGTTTCCTCCAGTCCAAGGTTGCTGCTGAAACCGATCGCTATCACACACTGCGAAGGATCCCAAACCATCCCAGGTTTTATTTTATTTTTTTTTCCAGGCAGCACACAATGGAGCCTTTTTATCTCTATGATCTTGGAATACAGATAGAAAACAAAGCTATCCAGAGGATCCTTTGCCCCATGGCCGCAGAGCTCTGTCATCTAATGCTTGCCCTGGAACAGGAAGACAGAATGTGTCAGACCTTACCCAACATAGAGGAGAATGCAGAAAAATTAGCCAAGGCCACTGATGAACTCGCTTCTGCCGCAAGGAGGTAACTTTGCTGGGTGGTGGGTGGTACAGATGGGATGGGGACGAGTTGAGCCCCGTGGCTTTTCTTCCAGATTGGCCCAGCAGTCCAGCGACAAGGCGTACCAGGAGGAGACACATCTCACAGCCGAGTCCCTTGTGCTGGCAGGGAGGCACGTGTTGCAGGCAGCCCGCCAGCTGCAGGGACAGCCGGGCAGCCCTAGCCACAGGGAGGTGCTGGCTGCAGCAGCAAAGGGCATCCTAACTGAGACTGTGAAGGTAACACCAGAGGGGATGGTGCTGAAGGGAGCGGTGGGGAGGATGCAGCTGCAGGAGGAACAAAACGGCCCCTTTGCTGGATCGGGCTGGGGAGTAGTAATTAGGGCAATTTTGTTCAATAGAATGAGAGGGGACGGCCTCAAGTCGCACCAGGCTGTCGTTCAGGATGGGCATTAGGAACAATTCCTCCTCCCCAGGAGCTGTGAGGCACTGACACAGCTGCCCAGGGAGTGGTGGGGTCACCTGGAGGAGCCCCAGAGCCGTGGGGATGTGGCACTGAGGGACGTGGGCAGTGGGCACGGTGGGCTGGGGTTGGACTGGATGATCCTGCTGGTCTCTTCTGACCTTGATAATGCTGGGATTCCCTGTGTGCTCACTAGGACGGGCCTGCTGGGCAAAACACACCTCTTTTCTCTCCAGCAGCAGATACAGTATCGTTTCCAGAGGGATGCAACAGTGATGCGTAACCTTAGCCACACTGACTGTACTTTCTGCTGTGCTAGATCCTTCAGATCCAAGGTGCTGCCGGGGCAAGGAGGATAACGCAGGCTGCCAGCTGGCTGTTGGAGTGCCTGGGCACACTGCGGGATACAGGGGACATGCCAGGGCTGCTGGCTGCTTTCCAGGACTTTTCCAAGGCTTTGCTTCTGCTGAGCAACCTGACAGCACAGCACCTCGAGGAACTCCGAGATTCTCCTCGGCGGACCAGCTTGGCCCAGACTTTGCAGCTCCTTCACAAGTGCGTTCCTTTGCTCCACGAATCCAAGCACAGCCACCTTAAATGCTCCTGGGCTCAACAAGTCAACTTCTCCAAAAACGATGCTTTCCAGCTGATGGAGAGGACCATCCAGGAGCTTGTTTCCTTGCTTGTTAACAGCACAGGCAGCGAGGAGCTTCAGGACGGACACGGGACCTTCTCCCATCATGTGCAGAGGCTGCTGGCTCTCCCCAACCACCCAGACCCAGTGCACCTCTCTGACAGCGAGTTCAGCACTCACGTGGAAGCAATAGTTTTCTACTGCATGCTTCTAGCAGAGATGTGCAGGGCAGATCTGAAGCAGGATCTGGTAAAACGTTGCTATGTTCTCCTACGGCTCAGAAAGAGCATCTGCTGCCACATAAGTCAGCAGGAAGGACAGACAAGGCCAAGCTGGGGAGAAAGCAGCCTGCGGGAGAAATGCCACACCATGGGAAAGGAGGTGGAGGACCTTGACAAGGCTGTGCTCAAAGCTACTCTGCACCAAATCCTCAACACCTTCTCCGAGGCCAAGGAGCCCTTAAGGCAGTTAGTACAGGAAGCTCTTACCCTTGCAGGTACAGGGTGTTTTCCAGCAGGGCAGGGAGGATTACTGAAGAAGCTTCAGCCCCTCACTGCCACCTTTTTTGCACACGCCCAGCAGATGCTCAGAGTGGCAGACTTTGTCCTGGCCAGGTGCACCAAAACCCAAACTGCTAGAGAAATCCACGACTGTTTAGAGTACTTAAAGAGCCTCCTTGCCAGTCTCCCTCCAGCACTCACAGAAATGAGCAGAAACCCAACCCACATGAGCACTGCTCAGCACCTGCAATCCTTGTACCACGCGTGGGCTGGGACAACAGAAAGCCTCTTGCAGTGTTTCGAAGAGACAGTCAGCATGCATGAATTCCTGAAGCTGTCCATCCAGGAAATGGCCGAGCACAAGGAATGGTGTGACAAGGCCCTGCAAAGTCAGGACCCCGAAAGGCTCTCTAGCCATGCTGCCAGCCTCACCAGTTGGGCTCGGTGGGTTGCTGGAGCTGCTGCCAGGTATGTGGATAGAGCAACAGACCCCATTTTCAGGAACGGCTTGCTGGTTTGGATTGAGCAGCTGGCCACGTCCATTCTTGAGCTGAAAGCAGCCACGGCCCTTTGCACGGAGAGATGCTCCTGTCTCCAAACTAGGGATGTCTTTTCAAGGACGGCGAGCTGCCTGATGGATACTGCTCACTGCATTCAGGATGGGCTGGATGGGTCCAACCACCCAGATATCCTCAGCCCTCTCCGGGAACAAATACGGAGAGCTGACGTTGCGAAGGAGCTTGAACTCAGCTCATCCTGTGCTGGGTTAAGAAACATTATCGGTCAAGCTAAATTGCAAGGAGATGTCTTAAGTCCACAAGCAGGTAACTCACACCCAGATGTTGTTCCAAGGGAAGGAGAAATGCACCCTGTCGTTACAGCACTCCTTGCAGCTACCAGAGCCCGTGATACAGCAGCAGTGAATGCTGCCTGCTCCGCCTTGCTCCAAGTCTCTAACTGCTGTATCAATGCAGCAAAGGAAGCACTGCCTGTTGCTGCCTCTCCCCACACGGAGACACTGGGGCAGTACCAGAAGATTATCCTACTGACACCGTGTGTTATTAGCTTGGCCAGGGAAGCAGCCCCAGGGCAGCTCCAACATCAAGGCAGACTGCTCCAAACTGCACTTTCCCTATCAGAAACCATCTGTGAGACCAAAGAGTGCCTGGCAGCCATGGCAGGCTCTTGGTACAGTCTGTCTCAACAAGTGCTTGGTTTTATCTTGGCTGCTGACTTTACTAGCAGCAAACAGGCTTTGGACGAGACCATGATGGTTTTAGCAGGAGCGGTTCAGATAGCAGAGGACATTGCAAGCATGGCCTGTGATAAGCAGAACCCAATTTGTCCTGAGGACTGGGAAAACTTTCTACAGGTCCAAGCCAAATTTTCACATGCACAGATGAACACCAAAGTGTTACTTGAGAAAGCAATGTCCTTCAAGGGCCCCTGCAAGGTGGGAGAGGCCAGCCTGGAGCTGCACTGTGTCCACTGGGCTATCAGCATGCATGTGCTCCTGGGTGCTGTGGATCAGCTCATAGGCAGAGACATCCTGTTCCTGAGGGAGCTAACAAGTGCCACGGACAACAGGCTTTGTTCGCAGAGCCTCTTGGCTGCTGTGTCTGAGATTTCCCTGAGGCTGCAGGAAGCTGCCCGGCTCTCTTACTTCACTTGCCCTGAAGACCGCGGCCGCAGTGAAATCCTCACCCTCAGGGAAGAGATAAAGGTGCTAACGGAAGCCCTGCTGGATGCCTCCAATACCCTGTTGGTCTCTCCTCTGCCTTCTGCCAGCCTGTACATTCGCTTTGAGCTCCTGCAGAGAGACTTGGCCCTCAGGGCCAAAGCATTACTGCTCCACCTGGAGAAGGCCAACACCAAACACCTACAAGTCATCCGAGATGTGGTTGGACCAGCCTTGTCTTTCTTCCCCGAAGAGTGCAGGGAAGTGAGCCAAAAAGCTTTCAAAGAGAAAGCGGGTCAGCTATTGGCCAACATTCAGTGGGTCAAAGCCACCCTCCAACGTGTCCTGGAGACAACCGCTCAACTGCAGTCACGGGCAGACCTGCTCTCTGTTGCAGACCACCTCCTGGTCCTCACAGCTGATGCAGTGGACAGTGCCAGCCAGCTCTTCCAAAGCCACCAGGACAAAAGGCACCTCCACCTAGACAGCATTGTCTGGTACTGGTCAGCTAAAGCACACTACCTGGCCACGCAGCTTCAGGCTGTCCATGGCATCAACGGACACATCCTGGAACTCGTGAGACAGCACCTGCAAAACGTGGGGGACCAGTGCTCTCCAAAAGAATGCAGCAGCACAGCCAAGCTCTCCCCAGCCCGAGAGCTCGAGGCTCTGAGGCCCACCAAATCAGCAGAAACTTGCCTGAGCAGGAGTGGACAAGCAAGCAGAGCTGTCAGAGAGGCACACGAAATGGTACGGTTATTTTTTCCAATTTCTTTGTTAGATCAAGCTGCTGGGTGCCCCATGCAACTGGGCTCTGGGTATCTGACCTGATAAGAAACCTTTGCACAAATAAATCCATCTCCAAAACACTGTTCCTAAGGAGCAGGGAACTGTACTGCCCTTCCTTTCCCTGAAATGCTCTTTCTGCTCAGCTCCTCACCTCTCAGTGAGCTTTCCTCAGGAGTAGCAGCCACCCTGCTCCCACAATTGCTGCCAGGTGCCAGGAGCTGGCAAAGGCTTTAGCAACATGATCCAAATCACTCTGCAGAGCAGTTTAAGAGTATTTCATTGCACTTCTCAACTATGGGCACTGCCATCTTACGCTACAGTTACCCCCCTTTTGGAGATAGCTCCAGACAATGGCACAGGGCATTTGGACTTCATAATGCCCTTGTGGGTGAAGACAGAAGAGAAATAAACCTGTTCAGGAAGGCGGAGTAGGCTCAGCAAGGTTACAGACAGCCATCCCACCTCTTTACTCACCAAAAACTGCTTCAGAAACACGCAGGCAGGAACTTCTCAATACTGACACGATCTGATGCTCTAGACTTTTAACTGTTCCGTTGTTGTCTCGACAGCAAGGGAACGGTCCTCTCAGTACCTTCTTTGGAAGCAGCCCTGGGAAGCAAGAGAGAGAAGACAGTGAGAGAATGCAGGGAGATGCCAGCAGGATGTCCCAGATGACCAAGGACATGGCAGTAAGGATGCTTCACATGACTCAGTTCCTGAGGAAGAAGGGCCCCATCACGGTATGGAGTTTCTCATCCCCTCCACCCCATCACTTTTGTAGCTATAAAGATAGATGCCTTCTAGAGAAAATACCCAAATGCCCAGTGCCTGCTGAAAAACCCATGTTATCCCATCCTACTGAAAGTGGCTCTGGTGCATTTGCCCCAGTAATTTCAGGAATTACTTTCCTGAAAGGAGATGCAAGTCTCGTGACTGGTCCATTCCTCATTTCAGAATACACCTGGCCTTTCTGGATGCTCCCATTTACAGGAAAGATGTTTATTTTCCTCCTCCCCATCACATTTGCATTTTGTTTTAGAGCAAGGAGCAGCTTGTTGCCTATGCTAGGCAAATAGCTTCTGATGGGCAGGCATTTGTTGCATTCGGCCGCGTCGTTGCAAAGATGTGCCTGGACCAGAGATGTTCTGCAGAGCTGCTGTGTGCCGCAGAGCAGACCCACACCATCAGCAGCCAGCTCGCCATCGTGGCCAGGTGAGTTGCTGCTAACAAGGAGTCTCCCCGAGGCTCAAAGAGGCACAGCAGTCTCCAGAGGTCTGTGTGGGATCTGGGCGCAGCGCTTAGAGCTCAGTTGCAGTTCAGCAGGCTCTTCTCTTTCTGTTGCTGCCAGCAGCACTTTTCTCCCATTTGCCTGCCTCATTTCCCCTGGAAAACTACACAGTGCAGGGGCACATTGCCTCTGGCTTTGGACTACCTGGTGGCAGAGAGCTGCACGCTTCCATGCTCTTCCAGTAAAATATCTCAACGTGTCTTTAAGGGTAAAAGCAGTCACTGCTGAGAGCAAGTCCTCTTCTGAGCTGCTCGTGAGCAACGCGCAGAACCTAATTCAAGCAGTTTTACATGTTCTGAAGGCAACCGAGGCAGCGTGCATCAAAGTAAGTTAATGCTGATAACGATGAACAGGTTCTGTAAGGTGAGCTTTGCTATGGGGAGCTCCTCCGGCCTCATCTGGCGGTGGAGATGCAGAAGCTGGCTGCTGTGGGACCTCTGTCAGCAATAGCAGGGGTCAAGATTCCTACTGCTACGTTTCTGTTTTATGCCTTTCTGTTTTGTTTCCAGAACCTCCTCTGCATTTTTTTCCAGGCATTGAATCTGCTCTATCACTGCTACCAGCTTTTAAGGGATGTTTAGCTGGTCCGTTTCCCATTTCATATTTGGAGAGTGGCAGCACCTCCTTGGAGGCCTATATTTGGAAACAGTCCATGTCAGTCTTAGCCTTCATGTTGTCTCTAGGTGGGCTTTGATCACAACTCCCAAGAGCTTGCCTTGCAGCTGCCAGCAACGGCTGACTGATCCAATTGTAAATAGTTTGTGAGAGCAGACTTGATGCGAAAGCACTTCAAAAACAAGCACAAATACAACGGCACTCTGCGCTGGTGCAGTTTTTCATTGTGTGCCTTCATCTCCTACACAGCCCTACAACTTCTGCTGAGCTCCATGTCTTTTTGACAGTTTTGATTAGAATCTTGGTTGGTGGACAATCAGCAAAAAGCACAGGAAAGCTCCTCCTGTACGTCATTATGCTGCTTAAAGCATACTGTCTGGGTTATCTGCTGGCAGAGCGATGCAGCGAGCCATTCTTTTATCTCAACTGTGCAGATTACAGAGTCCTTTACGGCCCAGCTGCTCCCCTTTCAAAATGTATGGGCCCACTTACCAATAAGCTGACGAGGCAGCCTTATTTTTCTCTCTCTGTAAGCAGGTTTTTCAGCATTTGAAGAATTTTGTAAGCATTAACTAACAGAAACATCACATCACTCGTACAGACGTCATGACGTTCTGACATATATAGAGTCTGTCCTAATGTATTCGAGCACATAAATATTTGTCTCCTTCCAACAGGGCCTGCGACAGCCTGCTCCTGACTCTGAAGAAGCAGCAGCAGCTGCTTTTTGCACCGAGTGGAGGACAAACCTGTTGTGGCACAGAGCCGAGCAACGCTTGAACTCAGACAGGGATGAATTAGGCCTCCGCAAGACTCAGGCTGAGCCCACGCTCACAGCCATGGTGCAAGGACAGTCGCCTCCGAGCGGCGGTACCTCCAGGTGTCCCAAATCTATTAAAGGACTGTATCCAACTATGGGCAGCCACCTCTAGCAACAGGAAGGCATTGCTCTGCTGCTGACGAGCTGCCCGACCTTGCAGATGTGAGACAGCTGGGGCTCTGCGGCAGCGAGGCTTCTGAAATGCTGATGAATGGAAGACGCCGTTTCATGAGGTCCCTTCAGTGCATCAAGAAGTGCCAGTTTTTGTGCTCTCCAGATGCAAGCAGGAGGATGCAGGAACAAGCTTGTAGCAGCAGCAGCAGCGAACGTGGCTGGTAGGATCAGAGAGTGTTCTCATCTGTACCAGAAAGCCTCAGAGCTGAGCTGTCTTCCTCAGGGCCCTATCACACCCCTCTTCATCCAGCAGTATTGCACGATGCTAACAGACACCAGCCCACCAAGGGGAGCTGCAGGACATTCTCAGCAACCATCACCTTTTCTTCAACAGTAACAAGACCCACGGTACTACAAAACCCTGAGCAAAGAACTGAATGAGGACGACTAAGGAACGTGGCCGCTGACTTCTGAAATGCAAAGGAGGCCTGTGATTAAACGTTCTGCACTTTGCAATAATAAATTCACTTTTACTGTGAAGGATTCATATTCTTTCCCTTGCGGCAGAAAAATATTTAAGCAGGCTACATTTGGAAGCTAGAAACCTCGTTAATAGTCTTCTTATCATGGGGCAGCAACAGCAGGTGCTGATCTAGGAACGCTCGTCTTCCTGAATTGCAGAGATCATTCTTCACTAGTCCAGGGCCACAGGAGCATTTTGTCACACCTGCTGTCCCTGATTCAGCAGATCCTACAGCCTGAAATAAACCTTTCCTCCAGAACTCCAGGGCACGCCATCACAGTAAAACATTCAGTGCTGATGCTCACCCACCTTGCAACTCTAATGGCATCTGGGACATCCAGGACCCCCAGTACTGGCTGCTCCTGTTGCTGCTCTTCACAGCCTCAGAAACGAGTTGAAAGCGTCCGAGGGAAACGCCGCTCTGTGCTGGACGAAGAGATGGAAGCAAGTGCTTTCCCTGCAAAAGACACAATCATTTCTCACAGCACGTCTGAGCTCAGTGTGGCAGGACTGTCCCCAACATCTTCCTGCCCCTCTGCTGGGCTCAGACACCCCCACGCCTTCCCCCTGGCTTACAGGGTAGGTCAGTACTTGCACGGTAGCAACGAATCCTCTCCACGTTTCAAGAGGGAGCAGTAGCAGCAGGCACACCAGAGCCTCGAGCTCAAGGAAGAAATCTGCAACAAACAAAACAAGCACAGGCAGAGGAGAGGAAGCAGCCCACGGACACTTGCACTGCAGCTGGGGATGCCCTCGCAGAGCTGCTGGCCAGGCCCAGATGAATCGTGGATGGATGGATGGAGAAAGGTTTCACATGGAGACAGTAAGCTGCAAGGAGAAGCCAGCCCCTCTCAAATTATGTTCTCCTTACCTTGTCCTCCTTCTCGCCCCAAAGAAGCCCCACATGACATTACAGGCACCAACACGGCAGTCCATCTCCTGGGTTTGAAACCAGCATTCCGGGTCCCCTTTCCGAAACACAACCCATTTTCATCTGCAACTCCCAAATGGATCCACACCCGGACCGACAGCAAACCACCTGAGATCCTCCAACTACCTCAACTGCAAGGCACAACATTTTGCCCCCGCTATCAGCACGTCTCCTTCGACCCTCATTTTCCCAAACACTGAAACCAAGTCACAGTTCAATTTGATGACGGTATCTTCACTGCTCTGAAACCACTACTGCCATCAACAATACTGAATTTGCAGCACCATCACATCCCACTCACCAGCCCTACCCAGCCAACACGCAGAGAGCAAGAGGACAAGGTCCACCAAGGAAGAGGCTTAATGCAAAGAGACATCCCAAGTGGGCGGGAACCAGATAGCAATTGAGCAGACTGCAAAATTTTATTTTCAATGTAGCTAGCTAGGAATAACTACATTTCCTCTAGATAAAAAGCAACCCAAAAGGCAAAACAAGAGAGGCTCTGAGGACAGTTGTGCTCTCGGCATGCAACATCTTTGAAAATGAAAGAACATGCACGACATTTCTCGCATCGGTGATGAGAATCGTAGTCAGGGGACAATGCAGAAGTCTGATCTCAGGACCACTCAGCCAGCAAACTCCATCTGGATTCAACACGAGGTCGGCTTACAAACCCACCACCGTCCGACTGGCGAGCGGCGCAAAGCCAGGCTTCGTCCCTCGCGTCCTTCACACACCCTCTCTGCTGTTCCTCCAAGCCTGAGCTAGCTGGCAGCACGTCAACACCACAGTCATTACCAGACTTTTACTGTACCCTTTTTAATTTTTTTGTTAAAAATGTTGTAAAGACACAATGAATACAAGTACTGCAGTTACATCGATACAAAAAAAGCAATACAAATTAAGCGGCTGAATACAAAAATACATTGAAATACATGAACACCACAATGTAACTTAGAGCACTAATCAGAATTGTGTATGTGTGAAAAAATTAAATAAAAACCTTTTTTTTTTTTGTATTAGACAACTTAGGTATTCTCCACTTTTAACAGTAACTTTCTTCTAGTTATGTACTTCACAATTTCTTCTATATACAGCATAGAATAAAATACTTTTAAAAGATATGACATTTTTACTCCTCAATATGTGATATAGGTCTCTTTTACACTAAGAATATTGACTGCGTGAATAAAAACCAATGTCTGACGTTGACTGGTCGGAAAAGGAGGATCAGCATTTTCCTTTCAGATCATTCCTGTGTACTCAAGTTAGTCGGTTTGGCTTGATGCGTCGGACAATCCTTGTCAAACAGTGTCTCTCACAGTAATGTACATAATATTGCTTGTATCTATACAATCATACAAATGTGGCAATCATATCTAAATGTTGTTTATGAAAGAGACAGCTCACACATATACAGGTCTTCAGACTTTCTTAATGACTTATTTACAATGAAAGTGCTTTTATCAGCTCTAACACGATACATGTTGTTTGTTTGTTTGTTTCCTACATGTCAATTATTAGTCTCCCTGAAATTGGAAAAGTATTATATAGAAAATACCACAGCTTTGCAAACACTATAGCGTACTGTATAACTGCATGTGGTTCTGAGATTAGCAGCTGAAAAGTGTTGATAATTATAATTTAAAAATAAATAAAGCAAAGAGGTAAACCAGTTACAAAACAGCAGAAAACTGCAATATTCACAACAGTAAAAAGACTTAAAATCAATCGCTAACAAAACGGTGAAGCGGTCGGGTCGAAAGTCTTGAAAACATCTTTTAGGGACTTATCATCCGACTCCCCGTTGGGATCGTTATCCTGCGCCTGAGCCACCTGTCCAGGCTGCCTCACCTGCCTCGGATCGCTGTACTGCGGCCTGATCAGCCCCGACAGGGCCTGGATAGGAAGATTGTGCACCGCGGGCGCAGCGCTGGAGTGTTTAGCCTGAGATTTGCCGTTGCTGTTTGCTTTATCCGAAGCGGCTTCCGCCGGCGCTTCGGGGGTCTTTTCGACGCTGGAGGCAGGCTTGGGCAGCGACACGTCTTCCGACAGGCCGGCTTCGCTTTTAGCAGGATTTTTCAGAATGCTTTTCTTCTGGTTCTCTCCGTTCTCCCCGGCCGGAGCCGCGTCCGACGCCGCGCTGTGATCCCGGGGATCATACAAACTGATGCCGCTCAGCAAGGAGCCCGAAGTCCCCAGCCTGACGCCGCTGGCCGCCAGCTTGGGCGCGTAGGGAGGCAGGGCGTCCGGCTCAGCTTTAGCAGCGGCGGCTTCCGAGGGCTGTGAGGAAGTGGCAGCGGATCTGGCGAGGCGGGGGTCAAACTTTGAAGGGTGCGACTCCTTTGCGACTCCGTGATACGTATCTGCGTTGGACAGTCTGTGGAGCCGGGGGTCGACGTTCTTTTGTAATCGAGGATCTCCCAGCTTGCTGGAGCTGCTGGCGTGAGAATCCACAGACTGATCCAAGTAGCCACTCCTGCCCACTAAGTTATTTTTCGCTTTGGCGGCTAGTCTCGGGTCAGCTGGCATGGCGTTTGGGTGGGGATCGTTTTTCAGGTTCCTCAGTTTATTGAGCCTCTGGTCAGCTATGAGCGGAGGAAGAGGTAAATTAATTGAAGAGACGGGGTCAGGCTTAGGCAAAGGTATTGGCAGCAAGTCTTCGGGCGCCCACACAATATGCTTAGCGAAGTTTGGTTTCATCAGGGTAACATCCATTTTAATGTGGCTGAACTGCCTAAGCTGAGATCGGGGATCCCTTAATGTTACACCGGGCAAAGGCTCCAAGGGAATCAGAAAAGCTCGTTCCCTCAGTTCTCTTTCTGAATCCTCTTCATCATCATCCATCCCTTTCTGCTTGACTTTCACGCCCGTGTGAGGGTGGTGTAAATCTAACTTGGCTCCCACAAGAGACGAGCTGCCGTGACCTCCGTCGCTGACTTTGTGCATCCTGGGATCTCTCAGCCTGGGGTCCAAGGCTGCGGATTCCGATGGCTTTCTGGGGTTTGATCTTGGCGAGGCCCTAAGCCTTGGGTCAGCAGCCTGAGGCCCTGCACCTTTATCTTTTGCCAGCCTGGGATCAGTAGGAATACCAAGCATGTGCTGCTCTGCGGAATGCTGTTGCTGATTCCTAAAGTTCTCGCTCTGTTTCTTCAGCGTTTTCAGTATTGATTTAACACTGTTCCCCTCTTCCTCTTCACTGCTGGAATACCAGTTGACATTGTCATCTGAGAACAAAGATTACGGAAACAAATGGTCACGAGGGAATACAACAACATGCTCACTCACATGAAGGGATAACTTCTCAGCGAAAAGGAACGGAGCAATAATATCAGTACCAAGTCCTCATTCACTGCATTAAAACAGTATGACAAAAATAATTCAGATGAAGAACTGAAGTAACAAAAAAATCAAGTTAGCTCAGATACTCCCAAGCTCTGCTGCATTCTCTCCACACTTCTCACAACAGCAGGTGGCTATGCACCACACAGCCCTTCACTTATTGCTTCCCCCTTCAAAACTCCTTCTGCATGATGCCATACAGTTCGGAGCATCCCTTTAGCCAGTTCAAGTCAGCTGCCCTGTTTTTGTCCCCTCCCAGCTCCTCGGGCTCTTTGCTGCAAACGGCCTTGGCTTTGTGCAACACTGCTTAGCAGCAGCTACAAACATCAGTGTGTTATTGACACTGTTTTTCTCCTACAATCGAAACACAGCATCATACCAGACACTCTGAAGTAAATAATTCCATCCCAGCTGAAACTAAGACAATAACCTGCCTCCAAACAATTGTTTCTAACAGTAAGAGTCGAGATGAAAATGACCTTCACTTCACGTGGGATGGGTGGAGAAAAAAAAAAAAAAAAAGTAGACTAGTGCCTTCCAGTCATCTTAAAAACAGATGCATTACAAATGTGGAATTTGCTGCTTCGTTACCATCCAAATTAGAACATTTAGGGGAGAGGTCAAGATTCAGAATGGGGGGAAATATGAATATTTAAAGGTTAAATAAATTCTCAACCATCATCTTCTCCAATTTACTGGAGAGTAATATAGCTAAACAACACAGCTGCCTGCTCTGATCTGTAATCTAAACTTGCATACTCACAGAAGGAGATGAGTGGTTTATTCTGGCTCAGTAAAACGAGAAATGGAGATCCACCAACATCAGCAACTCCTAGTGCACAGTAATGCAATACCTAACACACAGCCAATGCAGAGCTTGATCAGTGCTAGCTGCATCACACAAATACCTGCTACATAACACAACCCCAAGGAGGCAGCTAGGAGGACCATTCCCCTGTTACACTGCTTTCTGAAAGACCCCTAAACAGAAGGACTAGTTACTCAGAAGCATTCAGTTTAGAATCCAGTCTAGAACGAGCTGGAAAGAAAAGCAAATTGACCTGAAAATACTGACTTGGTACTTGTCCACTCACAATAACAACAAATGGTAACGTGATGAAAACTCAAACCAACAGATTTGTTCCACAGTAACGTATGGTCAGTAAAGAAATTTTGAACACAAACAAAATGAACTCTACCTTCTTCTTTGCTCATTGCCCTCTGACCCTGGCTGCTGACAGAGTCTCCATCTCTCTGATGCTTCTGACTAAGCCTTACATACAGGGCTTTCTGCATTGCTGGAAGGAAGTCTGGTACGTTAATGGCTGGTTTATGGCCCATATGACCACCCATACAGTCTGACTCGCTTCCACCTTGATGAGACTCTTGAGCCATGAGGTGAGCCTGGTGATCTGTAAATTCTCCATGCCATGTTCCATCTGCAGCACAAAAAAACAAAGCAGTCAGCAGCTACTCTGAGCAGGCTTCCACAGCAAAGCAGTTAAAGCACAATAAAGCAAAATTAATGGGATGTATTGCACGACTGGAAGGCATCAGCTGAAAATAAATATATGGTGAAGATTTTAAAGGAGGTGCGGCTCTACAATTCTTCCCCCTGCTCAGCATTGAAGCCACGATGATTCAACGCTGTACTGCTACAAACCACCACATCAAGGAACAACAATTCTTAAAGGTCCTTACCACCAGAGTTATTTGCTGGCTGGAAGTTATGCACAGCTTGATGAGAATAGTAATTGTCATAGAAGTCAGCCGGGTTCTGAATAGGCTCATAATTCATATTCGGCTGTCGTTCACCAGGCATCTGCTGGTACTGCGGCCCCGGAGGACAATGATTATCTCTTGGCATGTTCACCATATGTCCTTGAACTCCAGGGGCATTGTAAGAGCCACCAAGGCCTGGTGGTGTCAGAGGAGGACCACCTTGCTGTCCTTGCATAGGCATGCCGCTCTGGTTCTGCGGTCCCAGAAAGCCTGGTGGGACGCCCTGCATAGGAGGACTCTGCGGCATTCCTTGAGGCCCTGCACACGGGTGATGTCCAGGAGAACCTGGGTGCATTGGTGGTCCGTTATGTCCTTGTGGCATGCCAGGTCCAGGCCCTGGGCTCGAGCCTGGGTTATACATATGCTGAGAATGCGGGTCATTCCCCTGAAACGGTGGTCTAGGTGGTGATGAGCTGTTGTAGAAGGTTGGTGGCCTGTAAGCAGAGAAAAACTTAATGAATCAAATTCTGCACCTATCACGATCAACAGCCTGCTAGCTATTTCCTCTCTCTTCACTCTTACAGATGTCTGTGCGTACTCACTGGGCCTCAGTAAGTCTCTGGTCAAGAGCTGAACATGTAAAGCTTGTAGGAGACAGAACTGGGAGACTGAACTTTGCTCAGCTTGCAAACTGGGACAGACAAGGCAGGCACAGAGTCAGAACGAGAGCCAAAGGAGTAGCTTTCTGACAGGTCAAGGCTCAGTAAGTAATCCTTTCAAGGAGAGCATTAAGTAAATAACTGATAGCCTGCGTTTAACAAATAATTAACTTAGCAATGTACTCAGGAGTATACACTTCTGATGGAAATAAAGAGTGCTTCATGCATTTATGTGGCCACATCCTAAGGAGAATTCTACAGAAGATGCAAAAACCTACTTTTTTCCAATTTTGTGTGCTAAATCCACAGTGGGCTTCACAACAATTTCAAAGAGAGATGGTATTTTCTTATAATCTCCTGAGGGATCCTGGTAATTCTCTATATCGGACTCAGAAAATGGATATTGCTCAGCTGGGGTGGGCAGCAGTCCGACACCCGGTGGTGGCTTAGGGAGAGGAACTATGCCACGCTTTCTGAGCTCCTCCAGTTCCTTCTCATCTTCATTTTGTGGTTCCTCCTCATTATTCAAAACCTACAACAAAGTAACACAGCAAACAGCTTGTGAGTTTATAGTCACCAGTGGACAACTGTACAGAAGTCCATTTCTCTCACAGAGTCACTTTAAGTGACATAAATGACTTATTTTAGAATTCATCATACTTTTTAGGGTTACATTTGCATCATTTCTCTGATAAGACCCATGATATGGTAACTGTTTCAGTAACTACTTAGCACAAAGGTCAGTATTCCACGAATCATGCAAGGGAGGCATCTCATTCCTTTCTCCACCCAGATGAGATCTAGCCTCTGGGTCGGTGAAGGAGGCAACATAAAAGTCACACTCCTTGTTACACAATGCAGAAAGGGAGTCAGAAAGAATTTATGATTACAAACAAAAGCTGTGAAATTAAACCAGTCTCACACAGCAGAAAAATAACTGGTGGCAAGAGGGAACCTGTTGTATGGGACCGAGCCACAGACTTGCAGTGCTAAACAGCAACAGGGAAGTTTTAACACTGCTTTTGTATCGCATCACGTTTCCCCAGCACCCCCTGGAAATTTCCAGGACTATCCCCCATTCTTTTTGGGAACAAAGCTCGTGCTTACAGACTGCAAACTGCTCACCTTATCCAGCAGCTCTTTTGTTTCTGCAGTCAGGGGTGCATGAGAAAATTTGCACTTATCTCCTTGATAACATTTTGCTCCTGTGTGGTAAAACTTGCAAGGGAATTCATGTAAGCAATATGTTAAGGACTCCTAACAAAGGCTAATGATCAGTTTGCACTGTGACACGTGTATGAAACTCAGCTGTCAGTAATTCTTCAGTTCTACAGGAACACTTAATCTTTCCAAAACAGTATCTTAATAATTTTGAAAGCTAACAACCAACTTACCTTTTAGATTCATTTGTCATTCTGCTAATAATTATCCCACTGTCACCTTAACATTGTTTTTGACTTGACTATGATAAAAAAGAATAAACAAAGCTAGAACACAGCAGAGATTAAAAAATACACAGCTGTAAGAGTATATAAAATACATGGATAAACACATCATATTTTCTCCTCCCATTTGAGCAAAGAAATTATTTTCCTCTAGTACATCTACACAGAAATTGGTATAGACTTTTAGGAAGAGACACAGCCACCCTCTAAACTCACTTATGTGCACTAGGAGTAAATACGAACAGCTGCTTGAGTTCAAGTATTTTTTTTAAAGGATATTGTGCAAATAAATGCAGTTCTCTCCTTTGGTGCAATAACCCTGTATGTAAAACTTGCAGATTTCCTTCTTCTTCTCTATCTCTGCATCATGATCAAATTTACACTGCTCTCCCTATAATAACAAGAGGAAGACGTTATCAGTCCGAAATGCTGAGCAGTTCAATTTCACATCTCAAGCATCCTGCTTCACCGAATTTAAACTTTTCATAATTGCTAACACAGGATTATATTGCAAGTATGCACCTAAAGAAAATCTGAACAGGGGAAGTGGGACACAGAGAGACAACTGCTGAATCTGAGTTCCAAATAACACATTTGGTGGTGACAGGAAAAAAAAAGCTGATCCTACTGTACCAGTTGTCTCCTCTGTTCCCATCTAGCAGTTAGCATTAAAAAGACATTTAAACCAATCCCTAATCAAAGGCATTTCACATATAGACAACAGTGCACTTCATCAGTAAACCTGATTTTGTTTCAACAGCACATGAGATAACCATGAAGTCCAATAAGCAAAGCATTTTACTCTTCCACGTAGGACATCAGGCTGCCAACCCTGGCACTTTAGGGTTAATCTGCTAGAGAGGTGGGGGTTTTGTACATTCTTTGTAGTGTATTTCTCTTGAAAATAATTATTTCAACTACTTGTTTTACAACTGAAGGTGGCAGCAAATACTCATCTCACTGAGCACAACATCCTCAAATACGGAACGCCAGCGAAACGCCTTCGTTTCATTTGCCCCCTCAATTGGGAGAAAAGCACACTGATTTTCACCCTTAATTTCACAATACAAAAAAGCATCAGAACGCGTTCTATCATGACATACACGGAAAAGCTGGATGAAATGGTGCACTCACTTATTTGAGAAGCACGGAGTGTGATTTGTAACTGACTGAACTATTCTGACAGCACAGGATTCAACTTCACAGCAGCGTAAGCTTCAAAATGAAGCAATAGCAAAGTTCTAATGCAATAACAGGCTGCCTTGCTAGGGATTTTGCTTGACAGCTGACTGCTCTGAATAGGATTCTCTTCTTTCTGTTGCCTTCCACTTGCTGGCTGAAGGAAGATGACTTCGATTCTTTGGTAAGGGAACTATTACTACAACCTCACTTTTTACAGAGAGAAATAATTCAGCATAATTAAGCAATTTCTTCACTGATTCAAAATTATTGGTAGCACAAAACACAGAAATAATCTACTACATTCAGAAATCATTGACTACCTGCAGATTCCATACTTGCAAAACTTGTTACATATTTACAGAAGAGACACTGCCAGTGTAAGTTTATAATGCTATCAAAGACATTTTTGCTGCATATGTTAGCAAGCAGACACAATCACTTGTTAGAATCAGTCATAACCCTAAGGTGTAACAGAGGGGATATTTTTCCACAAGCACTTCTGTTAGCATTTATCTATAAAGATGTAAAAGAGAGGCAGTCAAAACACAGCTTCAACCTACGAGTTTTCCTTGCATCAGCTGAAGTAAAAAAAGCACAGTGCATCTTCTGCCCTCCCTCACACCAAAGAAGCAGGCTGACAAGACACAGTGCACATTTACCTTAATACATCTCCCTTCAAGGAAATATTTACAGATTTGTTTGCCTTTGTGTTCCACTGTGTGCTGATTGATGAATTCCTGACTCATATTAACCCATTTCTTCACTGGTTTGCCATCCTGTAAGAAAAATGAACATTCTGCTGATGTTTACTTATCTAGTGAAACTGAAAGAAATGTTCAGAGCATATTTGGAGCAGCAGCTAGCCCACAGTGTGACTGACTACACCAGGATTAAGTTCTTAATACTACACCCACAGCTCAAAGTAAAGGTAAACACACATACCTTTTCTTAGCTGCTTTAATACTGAGTTTTACACTCTTTTGCAAATATAATCAGATCAGAAATTTCTTACAACACGACAGATGTGAGTTCAGTGAATGGACACAACATCTCATGCTTCATCTGGAAAAGCTAAAGAGCAGGGCTGACTCATGGCTACCAACTAAGTCAAGTGTCCCCTGCCTCAGGTCTCCTCTGCACAAGGCTTTGAGAAGCACCTCTGTGACCTATCACCACGTCAAATAAGTAACTCAGTTGCACGACAGCCCAAACGCAATAATTCCCATTTTCCTCTCAAATCATGCAGTGTTTGCTGCCCGTTGGCAAGCACATTGATTAACAGCTGGCATTTCTATCCCACAGACAGGTATCAGAAAGATGACACTCTGTTCCAGGCGCCCTGTTCCAGCACTGCGTGCCCTGGCCCAAATCACCACTCGGTTTTCACCTTCCTCTGCCCTTCTGGCTCCAAACTGCATGATGCTTTGCAACAGAGTTGCTCCCCCATGTGACCAGTGGGAAGACTTTGGGCATGTAAGTGCTACTGACAACCCACCAGCACTTCTGGGAAGAGAGCAAGCAAAGAGGATTGAATAGCAGCTCAGGTGGTGCACGACCTGCTAGCATTCCTCTTGTTGCTGAGGACATTCTGAATTGTCAACCTGCTTACCTTCACAGCTCCTTCACAAGTCCATTGCTATCAAATCCTTATTAACCACGTTACCACCACGCATGGTGTTACGTCCAAACAATTTACTGTTTTTAGTAGTTCAATAACTCTTTAACTGAAGTATTGCCTGTACCACTCAGGAGCTGAATAATCAGACCTCTGGTCTACCTCTGTAGCCATAAGGCTATATTTAGCCAATCCTTCCCCTCTACTCCCTTCTCACGTGATTTTGATGCCTTTTTTGCAACATAGGGTAGTCATCTATTGATCTGGAGGGGAATCAGGCTTTTCCAACGGCAGACTTCTACAAAATTGAGCAGGGATCTGACTGCTGAGTAGGACCTTCTGACATGGAATAGCTATGCTTCTCCACTGCAATTGGACTGGAAACGTGAACATCAGTTCACTGGGTAAATTATGCAACGTCACAAAACACTGACACTGCTTAATGGATTCAGTGACATTCAGAAGCAGACGTGGTCAAGTTGGATCGGCTAAGATCTGTTCTCTATTCTGAATGCATTAAACTCGGAGAACTCTCAGCTGTTTGTTTCAATCAGAGTTTTGAATCTAATGCCTGCTCCCCTTCAAGATGAACTCCAATATCAGATGAAAACAATGTCCCAGGTCTTTCAGGAGGCACTGAAAACCAGTGACCATCAAACACCTCAAAGAACTTGAAACAGTGGCTCAAGGAAGATTGAAATGCTCCAACTGAGCACTGTGAGAACTGCGGCTCTCCATCAGAGGAGTCTCAGCTAAATGAAAGCCAAGGTATGGATCTCTCCTTTTCCACTATTAGCTATGGAAAGAAGAAGAATCCTTCACGAATCAGAATAAAAACTGGCAAAAGCTGTGAAGGTAGCCTTTTTTTTTTTTTTTTTTTTTTTTACTGAAAAAGCTGAGGTGAATCAATAGTAGCAAAATGGCACCTTTCAGAAAGTTAATATTTAAGTCAACATGCCATTCATAACCAAAAAATATTCTATTTTTTTTATTATTATTATTGCCAAGACAATGATCTATCAGCTTAAGTTATCAGCTGTACTTTTTACATCTAGTGCAGGAAAATTCAAGTAAAGGGATTTAACTTTTCTAGGGAAGAGAACAAGCAAAAAACCACATAGCCATAAATACACTTCTGTTAAAGCAAGACATCCAGGCATCTGAAACAATTGCATTAGGAACTTAATTCCACATACCTCATGAAAGCCATCAGACCCTTTATTGCCCCCTCTTCCTCTTCCACGATCCTTGCGCTTCAATTTCTTTTGCATTCCACGTCCTCTGCCAACCCCATAATTATTACCTCGCTGAGAAATACCTGAAACACAGCAGCAACCTTTTAAAATGTCCTCCAAAAGTACAGCTATCTGGAGACATCCAATGCAGACAAACATAAAGCCAAGTATCTTTTTGCAATCTGAATTCCTAAATGCTATCTTGAATCACGAGCTGGCAGGTAGAACTACTATCAATTGTAATTCTGTGCAACTGCCTGCTCTTTGAAAAGCTCTTTAAATCAATAGCAGACTGACAAAGTGCACACACAATTAATCCCCTTCAATAAAGCTTCTCACAACTGGAAGTGCAGAGATGATTTCAAACAAGCCCAAATACTTAAAACATTTTGTGCCATTTGGGCACTTTCTGAACACAGAACTCATCAGTACAACTGACACCCAGGGGTGCACATATATCTGAAAACATGAAAGGAGCCAAACACCATAACCTCATGGGACAGAATATCTTTGAATATGATAACACTCAGCTGTCTGGAAGTTTCAGGGTGGTAATTTTCCAGCTATCAGCACATCATGAGTCATGGTCTGAACTAAAAACACTGAGACAGAGTTTCTATCTACTTTTGTAATCGATTTAAAACCAAAGAAAACAAGTTCTGTAGATGTCACACCTGCTTCAGGTGGAAGCCACCCTCCACAGCAAGGCTGCAACTTGCAAAGACAGAGATCTTGAAGCAGTACCACCAAACACTATGTGAAACAAACGTTTTTTGGTCTCAGTTAAGCAGATTCTGCCAAACTTTTGTGAGTTTACTTGGTTCTGAACCAAAAAAAAGACAAAAGATTGTCACAAAAGTAAGGAAAGAAAGCTTACTACCTTCCTACAAAATGGCATCTTCCCTGCAAACTAGTAAGATATGTACACACTCATAGGAAACCCTGCTCAGATTTTGTGTGGCAGATAAACAAAGGGAGAAAATTATTCAAAGTGAATCAATGGTTTCCACAAATGCTATTGGTGCCAACTTTTTATCTCACACAAAAACCAAAGAAGTGCCATTTTTCCAGATGGTAGATCAGGATACCTGTGCAATAAATGTAAGTGGCACTTGCTGTCTCCCTCACCTAACCTTCCATGCCCCAAGACAACAAAAAGAAACAAGAAGATGAGGGAGTCCAAAAGATGAGGGAGTTCAAGGTCTCCTCATAGCAGAGGCAGAGATGTAAGCTGGTTCAATGAACTGCACTACAACGTTATGACCAGACACCAAATGAAAGGTGCAAGTAAAAATGCTTGCATGATTATGTTTGTGTCACAGGTAAGTAAAAGCAGCAAGACTCTTTCTGAAGTATGTTTCTGCAGAGAAGCACTTCCTCATGGCCTTTGGATCAGTCCAGCTTTGAAAAGGAAAAAAAGTTGAGAAAAGGATCATAGCACACTTGAGGGGCATACTGATAAACTTAGGCACTCATCAAAATTTTGAGGTACCTTAAGCAGGCTTGTATGTACTTTTGGCCTAAGCCACATTTTGGAATTCACAGGTCACATACTCTTTTCTTCACCCTTTCATGAACTCCACCAGAAAGGCACTTCACAACTGTATGATTTCTTAGTCTGGCAGTCACACAATTGAGATCTTGTCTGTTTGTTTTTAAACAGGTTATTTATTTACTATTGACACGTCACCCAACGCTTAGTTTTGTCCCTCAGTAAAGGCAGAAGTGCACCCATACACTATTATTCCTTCCCAGTAAACAGCATGCCACATCCTGATGAGAGACTGCCAGCCCAATGGAGAGCCACAGCTGGCAGCTCTCCTCACACAGCTCTCAACACAAACATTCTGAAATGACACAGGACACAACTGCTACCACCACCAACGCCACAGCTAACAATTCAAATCATCTTACCTTTCTGGATCCCTTTCATCCCCTGTTTTTTCACTGGTTCTTTCATAAACGGAGGTCCTAAATCGCTACTGGAGGTCTCTTTAGCTTGCCTGTATTGTTTGAGCTGATCGGCAAAATCTTCATCTTTTTCCTCCTCGTTATAATTACCAAAGTTCTCATCACTGTAATGACTGTAGTCATCATACTCCTTACTCTTTACATTCTTTTTATGTTGCATTTTCTGTGAACTCATGTAATTTCCAGATACGTGTCCATGCTGCATGAAAGGGATTGCATTGTTTAGAACCAGCTCAATATTTCAGACACCACCCCTCCAAACTGCCCTACAAAAACAATTGCTTTTATGCTGCTATACTGTCATGCTGACCACACATCTGCACAAGCATTAATAACAGTGAAAATCAGTTATCCTGTAAAAATTAGTACTTTTGACTCTGAATGCATATAGGGAAAAGGTTTTGTTTGTTTGTTTTAAAAAGAAACCAAACAACAGAACAGCATCAGCATTTATACTCCAGAATGTTTCTCAGAGGGACTGACAAAGTATTTTCATGTACACAATCCTTCACATTCTGAGTGGTTTTCTTCTAAAAACAAACAGAAGGTAATACAGCATGAGAAAAAAATAGGTAAGTGCTTAGAACATGCTCAGAAAAACATTGTATATTGAGATCCTCACAGCTGAGCTTAGGTATGTAAGAATACACAGTGGCACTCGTGTTTCAAGAATTCCTTTAACTATGTTACTACAGACAATATAATATGCAAACAGTTTCAAGCTTTTCACACTTAGTTTGGAGGCTTTGTACTGATAGCATATGTCAGCAAGATTCTTTCATGCTTGTTTTGCTGGAATTTGAGAAGTTATTGGACATTTGTCAAGAAGCAAAGCTGATTAGAGACTGGTGGAGACTGCAAGCAAGCTGCTTCTTGGAACTCAGGCTACTTCAGTGTACGGAGTAAAACAATTTGAAGAGTATCCACTCAGGGAAAGTCAGCAGGACTGCAACAAAAATCCTGCGTTGACATTAACAACAAAGCTCTTTCTTAGTAACAGCAGGCAGAATTAGAACTCAACTTGTTAAAACGGTTCATTAGAACCATGGTGAGAATTCAGTCTTTCCCTTCGTGATCTGCATCTCCTGATCACGTTGGACACACGTGATACAATCTGTTCCGCCCCCATCAGTCAGGATGAAATACTCCTTAAGGCCACTCCCAAGCCAGTACTGTCCCTTCTCTAGTTTCAGCAGACAGCGTTTTCAGCTCACTAATAAATCAAGCTCATTTGGAGTTTTCTGGAATGGTTTCAGGCTAAAAGGAAAGCATCCCTTCCTCTGAAGTAATGCAGTTCCATCAAGCCTCCAGCTACTCCGTCTCACTTGTCAAGAACGGCATTTTATTTCACCCAGTGGTCCAGGAGAGCTGTTGAGCTGCGCAGACCGAGAAAAGCCAGGACAAACTGAGCTATCACAAAGCAGCACCCACTCTAGATACTTCAAGGTGACTTTTCAAGAACCTCTTTCCTCTTTGTACAGTCCAAATCCAACGTAGCTTTACTTACTTCCGCACAGCAGAAAACTTGTATCAACTTTGTTTACATCACCTACATTTAAGCTCCAGATGATGCTTTACATCCTCCACTCAGAGGACATGAGACTTACACGCATTGTCTGAAGCTGTGAGAAGGGGCACTGTGATCAAATCAGCTTTCAAAAACTGCATCTTTGACATCAGCATTTTCATATGCATACCCAAATAAACACACGAGACATCAGCTCAAAGCAGCACTACCTGACTGAACGAAGAATCATAATCTCTGTATGAAGAACTGCTACTTTTTTTATGTGATCTTTCTGTACGTTCAATATCAGAGTCATGGCTGTAGTCTGAACTGTCATCACTGGAAGGAGAGTTATGCTGAAAAAAACAAACAGAAGAAAACAGCTGTCTAAAATGCTGTTATATAATTTATTATGCAACTGGTCTGCTGCATAGTAACTTAAAGGGAGCACTAAACCAGCGTATAAAAACATTTTCTTAACTGTCCTCAACCTCTGCCTCTGGGGGAGACCAAAGAAAACACACTCTTTGATGACCCACTCTCTTTATCAGAGAAAGAGATCTGATCCTATGAGGCTTCTGCATGAAAACACTGAGGGTTATGTGGTTACACTGGGTTACATCAGTTTCCCATGGGTCTGCCTCAGAGCCCTACTTCTTTGCAACATAGTTGAGATGCTGCTGGAAGGCTAAAAGAAATCTTGGAGAGGGCTAAAAACTTGCACATGACCAAAGAACAGATTAGCACTCCATTTCTGCTGAGAGAAAAGAGCATTAGTTCATACCAGATGCACTTAGATGTACAGTTTTGCAGAAGATTTAGAGGGACAACTAGTTGTACACAAATCAATGGTAATTCTTCTGCCACTCTCCTCAAAACCACACCAGAATTCTACAGTGCTGTGATTTTTAGTCAATGACAAGTGAGTTTAAATTTTTAGGTGAAAAATCCCCCGCATCTACTTCAGAACCAATTAAAATGTACATTATACACATCATCTTAATGAAGTTAATGAAGAATTCACCCACCTAGCATGAGATCTTCCATTTCCATAAATACAGTAATTAACTGAACAAACAGAATTGAGCAAGGAAGCTCACTCCCTACTGTTCAGCTACCATCACCCTTGCTGATAGTAAACAAGCACCCAATGAAGATGTGTATCACAAAACTACAATTAGACTCAATCTGATTTTGTTTTTCTTTAAAAAGTCAATGACACGCATGCATTTGAATTAGAAACTCACTTGTTAGCTTTGCCTATCATCTGGAATGTGCTATAGCTTGATTATTTAATGATTTACGATCTCTCACCCCACACAAACTCACTGAAACACATGAACATGCACTGCCATGTGTCAAAAGTCTACTTCAACAAATCCTCCAAGGCTGAAATGCACATTAAGACAGGAAACTCAACAAAAAGCAGAGTCCAACGACTGTCTGTATAGTAATACTGTTTTCAGACAACTTCTCTACTTCCCTGGATTCTTGTCTAAACCTGGAAAGCTGCTATTAAAATGAGCACTTCCATTTTTTGGTTTGCAGTTCCTGACCTTATGTTTATCCCGTCTTCTCCTTTTGGACTTTTTCTTTTCTTTTTCTTTTTTGCGTTTCTTCCGTGATTTTCTGTGTCCTTTCTCATTTTTCTGTTTATCATCTTTTGAACCATGTTCTTTCACATCTTCATAAGCTGCATCGTCTATTTCACCATCCTCAAGCTCTCCATCTTCTCTGTAGGAGGAAAAATACAATAACATTGTCATGTTACCCATCTCAACTGTGTAACAGCACAGTAAAAAGAAAAGCACGCAGTATTTCTTTCCACCAGCTGCACTGTCACATGCACACAAATACACATTATAACACACACAACACCCCCAAAATACTCAGGTTTTCTTGTGAAGAAAAATGGAATTAAGCCATTAAACGTCCTTTAATTGTACTGCCAAAAAAAAATATATTGAACTTCTCAGAACAAAAGCCTTCTGTTCTTCCACAGTTTTGCCCACGCTAGCTAAAACTGCAGCTTCAACATATCACCTAAATCCACTTCAACCTGAAAGGGCACTTTAACCATTTCCAGAAATGCTTCAACTACAACACTTTAAACACGTCTTCATCATGCTCTACTTGCAGAACAGACTCAGCCAAATTCAAAGGCAATTAAAGTGGAAATCATACGTTCGGGAGCAGCAATAACACAAACCAACAGTTGGGAACTGCAGGGAAAAGAATGCACCGTAATAGGAATGCGTTTCCATCAGCACACCAACCAGCTCCTGCAACTAAAGCACCTCCCAAGAACGGCCAACGTCCTGAGCAGTTCCAAAAAGGAGAATTACAGTCACGGTTACGTTGATTCTTTCAAAGAAATTCTTAGTAGCAGAGGAGAAAAAAGGAGTAGTTGACACGTAAAGTCCATGTGCTACAATTTAATATCCACAGAACACAGACACCTGATGTTGCTGTTTGCTAGGACACGTGTTTGTTGGCTCTGTGGGGTTGTTGTGGGTTTCTTCCAAAGCATCTAGCACTGACTTCTGCAGGAGTTTGCTCCCCATGTCACAGCAGTAACTGACACAACAACCACTGCAGGAGGAGCAACACGCACAAGACCACAACTTCTGCATGTGTGACTGTCTGAAAAGTCTTTTTTTTTTTGGAGTAACACCAAAGGATGACTCAAAATAAATAGATAATACAGAGTGCATTACTTCAGGTATAATAGGAAGGTTTGTCCTGATCTCTACTCATACAGGAAAAAAATACAGACCTATGGTTACTAAGCCTTTACATTTTACATTCTGACCCAAATAACAACTCCAAAACTATTTCACCTGGGAAGAAATCTATCCAACACAACACAAACCAAAGCCTTTCCAACCCCTACTCCTTGCACACTGCTGAAGCAACCTCAATTCCTCTTCTATTAATTGGCATTTGCTTCTTTTAGCAGTGAATGCACACAATACACTACTCCCAAACTTCAATAACTGGGCTCTATATCTCTATACCTCTATGTCACTTTCTACTGCTTCTGGAATTCAGAACCTTACAGGAACTCAATCCTGAATTTTTACAGATTGCCAGAAAACACCACTGGTGACCCAGTGCTGGAAACCATCACCCTCAGTGCAGTGGATTTAGCAGAAACTCAAGAAATGCTGCCAGCTGAAGCAAGGGGAAAAGCCTGCAGACAGCAGAAAATCACATAACAAGATCACAATCACAACTCTTAGAAGTCAGAATCCTCATTTACTAGTAAACAAACATCACAAAGCTCAATCCATGTGATGGAGTGTTAAAACAGAACTGTCAGTCCCAAAGATTCAAAGGTGTTACAGCATCAGTGCTGTATGAAACAGGACTGCAACTACATGCTATTGAAGGCTGCAAGTTTGTGCACAGCCAGTGGCTGCTGAGTTCCTTGCAGGATACGTTCTGATGTCTGTGGGAATGCAGGAGTGGGAGGCAGGGAAGACAAGTCCAGGAGTCACAGTAAATGGTGATCTATGCCTCTGTGTACTTCAAACAACTGAAAAACTGGGCATTGGAGGCTTTCAAAGCCTTCTCTACACATGGAATAATGAAGATCTTTGATCTGCTCAGATCTCTGCTATGGAACAGCTGAGAACAATTACACCATTACAACTGCACAGATACTTTTTTTTTTTAATATGTACAATTGTTTAAGCAGAAAATCGTTTGACATCCGTGTCCAAAGCCTGGGAAAACCACTAGTATTTTAACAGAAACTATTTGGTAACAAAAAAAAAATCAACCCTCAAAGCTGCTGCTATATTTTTTTTTCTGTCAGAGAAAGAAGAAGTGACAAACAGCTACAAGAACCTCAGGACAGACTGCAAAGCCCAGGAAAGCTGTAACTTATCACGCCCTGTGACACTCCTATATTCAGAGATGATTTGTCTTCCTGAAATACAGGGATCTAAAGCCAATATAGGAATACTCCTGTCATTGCCAAGAGGTGACATTTTCATATGCCTGTGCTTTGCTGCTGAGAAAGGAAAAGGCAGGTGGCAGGTCTTGATCTCACTTGCAACAAAGGTAGATGAAAAAAAGTAAAATGATCTGGTATGTGTAATGCCACAGTGAGATGGAAAGGACCGCAATAACAGCGGGGCAGCAAAGTCTTTGGCTACAGCAAATGAGCCCAAAAGCAGCAGTTGCAGAGAGAAAAACAAAGGAGAAGAGCTGCTCACCTTGGGAAGGCCTCAGGCAGGAAGGGATCTCCGACCCTTCAGTGAGGTCTGGGAAGGGGGGGATGCCCTGAGTTGGCCCTGCTTTCCCACCAGGTGCTCAATGGTTCAGGCTGTGACTTAGCATTTCCACTAGAGCACGCAAACCAAAAGATGCCTGAACTAAACCCACTTTGCCCACAGTCTGCCTGGGATAACAAGCTAGCAGGATTAATGATCCATCATGTCTGATGCTCCTTTGCTACAGAATGATCCCGAGGCACCCTGATTTAAACAAGCCACTTCCACTCAACAATTGTTCCTGGTGTAAAAGAAAACAGCAGCAGAAATGAAATGAACCTGGGACCCAAAGATAAGGCTGGTAACCTTCCAACAGCACTTTCAGATAACTTTGTATCTGTTATTTGAGAAAAAAAAAAATTGGTAATGCTACTTACACACTAAAAAAGGTGCAAACCCAACTATGTGAAACCAGAATGCAAGCTCTGCAGTGTGCTGATACTGAAGGCAATAGGAGTGCTGGTGGTCCATCGCTATGATGCAAATACTGAATATCTGCATTTAAGCTCTTAGATATCTGCATTTAAGACTTTGATATAATGATATTGAATAATGTTTGAGCAGCAATAATAGGACCACGATAGAGCACAGTAACACTAAATAATAAGATCAAGAATTAAAAAAAAAAAATCCTTGCATTGAAATTACATAACTACAATAACACAAGATAGAGACAACAGGAGAGACGTACTGACAGGGAAGAGCACACTCTCTGTTGAGCTCATGTCTCAAGTTCAGACTCCTCTCTTCCAGCAGTGAAACTGGCACCCAGCCTTTCTGTCTGACTACTTCCACCACCTGCCCTCCAGTTCTTCATGCAGCACCACCAGGTCTATGACAGGTTTAACAGAACGCAAGAGAAGGACAGCAAAAATCCCCACAAAAGAGCCAGAAGGAACATGAAGTTCTCACTGCCTCGAGGCTTCAAAAGGTTTAGAAGATTTGGGAGGCACCTCTTAATTTTTAAGGCTATTTGTCTCTGTAATATCAGGTTTTAAGCTTTATGAACAAAGTGCTTAATTTCTGTCCAGAGCTTTGTCAGTTATTTCCATTGTTTTGGGTTTGATTTTAGTATTTTCAGTATTTGTAAGTGAGGGGAGCCAGAATGCATTTCCTCCTCTGAGGAAAAGTATCCAACTCTCCCTTGCCTCCTGGATCATAATAAAGCAATACAAATTGAAAATATTCAAATTAGCAGACCATACTTAAATGATAGAAGAGGGAACCAAAACATAATAATAGTTTATTCCAGTTAGAACAGTTAACAATCTTGGACTGCTGAATGAAGCCCTTAAGCACACAGTGACTCTTAAATGAGCGCCGAGGGCAGTAACAGGTATTAGGGCAGAAGTAGTAATTAGTCTAGATTAAATCACTGTGCAATTTGTCCACCTCAGTCCTATACTCACAAAGAAGCAAGCCACATTTCTGACCTCCTGTAAGAATAAAGGCGTGTGCCAGGGAGAAGGAAAGGGGGAAAAGACAGACATGAGTCCTGTGTTTAGTCCTGCTGCATCTCCTGGAACCTGCTAGAACCCAATACTGTTAACAACCACAGAGCACAAACAACACATAGGATTGTGGATCACCAACTACCACAAAATGGAAAAAGGAACTGAAAACAAATACTCCTGGGTCACCAGAGAAAATCATCTTCTAGATACGTACTGAAGACAGCTCTGTTTGCTAAGTCATGGCAGGCAGCAAACTTTGACAAGTGGAGAAGGCTCCAGAAGGGAGCAGAGAGATGCACAGAAAGCAAAGCTCACTCCACCAAGAACATCCACCCAATTAAAATACTTTCTTCAGTAAAATACAGGCTGTAATTGCTCTTTGGGAAATAGGCATTTGCCAGCTACCAGTTCCTTTGGGAGCTGCTGTCGAGTATTTATTGTTCTGGGATGTGTGCAGGGCTCGAGTAACTTTCCAGGTAGAACCACTGTGCAGAATCCCAGTAACACTATCCTTTGGATTGCATTTCAAAGTATGGTTACCAAAGTTCTCTACTCTCCAAACACTTGGATTATTTCCACAAAAACCTAGCATTTTCTAAGTGCCAAACTTAAAGAATGCTTAAAAATAAAAAAAAAATAAATCGTGCATAAATATAATTTGAAAATGTAATGGTTTAAAATGTACCATTTCTTGGAAATGATTTAATTCAAAGGAAGTCTGAAGGAAGTGATAGGGCAGAAAGCACCCTCAGTTCAGGCCTTTTTTCCACTCAGAAGTGAGAACAGGAGTGGGACAGTGCTGAGCGAGCACAGAGCCGACCCCTTTCCAGCACTTATTCCACACTGCTGGCTGTGAGCAAGCAGCTCCGGGCTGGGCTTTCGGTGCTGCGAACCAGGACTACCTCCTTTCCCACTATGAGTAATGAAAGTCAACAAATAGCTGTGGTCTGGAAAAAAAGAGAGCTAGTGGCTGATTTTCTAGGAAACGGGTCCTAGTTTC